TACAAACAGAGCAGACTTACAAAAATTGGGCTAATATAGAGAATCACTACAGAAGTTCTACCTCTTTAAACAAATTCTACCTACATACTTCGACTTTCCTCCTCCAAAACAACCCTTACCTTGTACCCCGCAAGACCTCACCCCAAAATTGAGAGAAAAATTTCCTTTTCTGCCTAGAAATCAGGAAGACTTCAAAGAACATATTAGACTTTTACAACTAGATTACTCCTTTGCCAGATTGCCCAATGACTACATCATCTTTCGCAAATACCTCTCTCTAGACCCAAACCAGCTAAAAATGACAAACCTTGTCTTTTTCCTTCAAAACAAAGAGGAAGTAGATATCTTCATGGAAAGCGTCCCATATATCTATAGCATCCCGACACCACTACCAAAAACCTACTGCAATTTCAACTATACAGATCTCTCAGACCTACCTGAAGATGCCAAACTAGTAACTAATATCAATCTGACAATACCAATCTCAACTCCAAAAGAACTAAGCATCGCAGCCAAAGCACTACATGAACACTACTACTTTCATACAATACCCTAATCTTGAATTAATATAAAAAAAAAAAAGATGATAGAACTAGAAACAAATCTAACCAAAATACCTTCAACAATTGAACAACTCCAAGCTGCCCTCTTGGAAAAAGGAATTTCTGATATAAATGTTCCTATAAAAAAACATCACAACATTCCTCAAGTGCTAGAAACACTCCTAGAACACTTCACTTATCACACAGTACCTGAATATATCTTTGATTAGTGTTTGGAACCGGTTTTATTTTTATAAACCGGGTATATAACCTTTTTAAAATTTGCAACCGGATATAAATCGGTTATATTATATCTGGTTAAAATCGATTAATCGGTTATATTAATCCGGTTAAAATCGATTGATCGGTTATATTAATCCAGTTGACTCCGATTAATCGGTTATATTAATCTGGTTAAATCCGATTAATCAGTTATATTAATCCGGTTGAATCTGATTAATTGGTTATATTAATCCGGTTGAATCTGGTTGAATCCGATTAATCAGTTATATTAATCCAGTTGAATCCGATTAATCGGTTATATTAATCTGGTTAAATCCGATTAATCAGTTATAAATTATCCATACTGCTATTTTGGTCTTAACTGTCCTATTGCTATTTGCTTTGTCATATTAGTATTTATATGCTTTTCATATCGGTATATGTTTGAGTGGTAGATAATAAATGTTCTTCATAATAGTACGACGTATATACGTTTTGTTTATATGCCACATAACAATAATGCTAAAAAAATTTTACCTTTAAAGCAAATCCGATCTCTGCAATTGTAGACATTACTAAGGTGTATTTCTATATTCAATAGATAAAAAAAATCATACGTATAACACCTTTTTAAGTGACCCGATTTAGACTTAAGCATTGTTTTTCTAAATGTTTTTTTTTTACTGACAGATGAATTGATAATCAGTGATCGAAAGCAAAAATGAATGGGTGGATTTACGAGTTTGACAATGAGAATAGCAGAGACCATCAATGTTACACGTATATTAAAACTGGTGAGAGATTATATCCATCACAATTGAATCCAACATAAATAATTTCATCTACGATTGATTACAGGCGAGAGGGATTCACTTTGGATCGGGCACTGTCTCTGCTGTAGACAGTAAGTGAATTCATGATTTTAATAGTTTAGTCGAGACGGGTTCATTATTTAGACAGCAGTTAATTTAATGGGCTCAATTTTAATAGTGAGTGAGTTCAATATTTCAACAGTATGATTTTGGTTATTGACATGTTCATCTTAGAAAGCTGACAGAAAAGTGTTCATTAAACCCCTTCAAAGTCAGCTATTTGACAATTACAAGTTCTAAAGTAACTATAATATAAACTTGATGCAATTGGTTATTTTAGAGCTTCGATTATCAAATGATTGATTATTTTAAGACTTATAATTGTGTCAAATAACTGACTCTGAGGGCTATAATAAGCTCTTTTCTGTCAGCTCTCTTATCGACAAGTCATTTTAGTGACAAAATAAATATACTAAGATTAAGATTAAAAATAGATTTTAAGATTAGATGAGTTTATAAACAGCACTATCAAGAATGAATCATATCAACAAACCTTATCAAATATATCGAGCACTACTATTACATTTTTTGTTTGCATAATTCATTATTGAATTAATGTAACCTGTGGTTTTACATAGATAAAGGCGATTTGTTTTAAAATTTTCAATATAATATATGTTTATTTATATCTATTGACGTTATTATTAGAGTTAGATTTATATTATTGTTAATCACTTTTTAACATAATATCACAACACTTAATCAAAATAATAATAATAATAAGAGTATTTATAAATCAAATCTTAACTATATTAACATCATTTATATTATACAAACTTTGGTTTAGCTATAATAACAGCGCAAGTGACTTAATTAGAACCTGACTTCTGAAGACAAGTCAAATAAATCAATTATCTATTTAGA